TCAAAAGAAAACAGTAAAACTACCTTATAAGATTCTATATGGTTTGAAGAATTTCGAAGAACATCTAGGAGATAGATTTTGTGCCGATTGGTACTTTTCAGTGAATTATATCCCCAATCATGGGGCTACGTTTAATTTCTGTGCTGTTCCAATCAGTCTCGTAGTCAAACACTAACTTGCGCTGTCCACTAATGACATTATGGAATGAATACCAAATCTAAGCCTTTCTCCTGATTGCCTTCAGTGACTTAGCATCAAAACAAAGCATATTAAATGCCAATTTAATTAAACAAGCTACCAGACTGCAATCTGATTAATAGAAACTGATTAGCACGCCTAGATAGACTAACCGGTAGTTTGTGCTACATTCACAAGGACTGATATACATTGAAGACTTTTCCATGATTACAGGATAATTCGGTGGATTTTTCGGTGTACTGATGAATATGTTGGTTCCCAATCAAGTCACCAAGATAAATAACACATCCAAATTACTGATTCGCCATGCAGCGACAAAATCTCTTCGTACTGTTCAGTATCATAACTACTGTCCGAATTCCTCAAGGTGACTCTCCACTTTTTCCAGACCCTCAGTTTGGCCTGTGGGAAGCATTCTGGTACACCCTTAACCTAGTTCCCTTGGTTTACAGGTGTGTAATTACCCTGAAGTACATTGTGTTGGATCGCATTTTGCATGAAAATTCTCACTACCTCCAAGTTGTCATCCACTGTCGTGGCCATGCAACGTGTTGGAGATGCTCTCTTAACATCACATAGTCTTCTTTAGTGTAGCTAAGGTAGAGAATATTCCCGTCCCTCCGAATTATCTCATCTGGGACCACGTTAGACACGATTGCACCATAGCCGCCACTTCATACTGGTGCGCGAACATGGACATTCTCAACTATAATCTGATAATTTGTCTGTAACTAATCCAATTTCGAGGTTTTTTTTGTCCTTATCCCATATCTAGGCGCCATCTACATGTTCAGTCAGTTCTGGACTTCTGTTGGCTGTGGGAAAACGCTTAAGAAAGAAACCCTTAGGGGTTTCGTCTTTCTTTCTGAAATACAGGGATTGAGAGTATTGAACTCTCCATCTTGTAGTATTTGGTCAAATCGCGGGTACTGTAAGTTTCTTATCGCCTGTACTATTGTCTTTTGGGTGTGAGAACCTGTGGGGGGCACGTATATCTCTTCAGTCAAGTGCTTTATGGAGTTAAAATTGAAGCAACACCAACGTGATTCTGTCACTTCTGTTAATTTGACACTATGTGGTATCGTGGCTTTAAAGTTACTGTTAATGTGTATCGCCACGTCACCTCTTGTTCGTGTACCCTATCGTACCTGAAAACTGTAATGCCTTCCATGCTCACTTCTTTTTTCATGAAGTCAAGCGACAACCATGTTTAAGTTGTGACTATGAGCTTCAGATGTGAATGGAGTTTTATGTTTCTGGTTCCCCCTAGTTTTCCACTCAGTCCTCTTTAGTTACCATAAAGGCACTTGATGGTTTGTCCTATCGGTTGGCGCACCTCTACAACAGCATCAGTCTTCTGATTTTTAGACAGATTTTTGACTAGTGTGTATACCCCAGTTTAGTGTTAACTGACCTTTGTAGTTTTCATGCCTGAATAGCATGTTCCATCATTAAGATTATGGTCTATGTGCTCTGTAACATGGATTGCTGATCAGAACGTACAGACAACAAGAAGTGTTTTATTGAGCCGTTCTACTGCTACCTTTCCGATATAACTGGATAGGCTGTTTTTCAAGTTGTGTCAAGTTTGGAGGGTCCCAGTTTAGTGTTTTCGACTTTTGAAGTTCACACCCATCAGATGCGGAGACTTAAAAGCCGTGAGGTGCGATGGACGAAGTAGCCTAAGTACGATAATTATTGTAGTGGCGTGGAATTTTCTCTGCATGATAGCAAACGCCACTACTGCGTATTTCGTTCATGAGTTTCATCTCAACAACCGCCATTTATATTAGGAACTCCATGGACTACCATGTTGATCGATTCCCGGGTGTTTTCCGATTTACTGGCATCATTTAAGGCCCATTGTTTGTAGTGTTTTACTGGTATTTCGGGGATCACAACCGATGGCCTCTGAGATGCCAGTAAAATTTCTACTGGAACGTGTGCTGAATTTAAAGTCACTCTTAATGGAGGGAGTTACTGTTTACTGCTTTCTAGTCTTTATCCAGGCGTGACAACATGATTGAAGTATTTGCCTACTATCCTTTACTAAAGATTGTCCTATTTTCTAATAAGCTACTGTCCGGCAACGGGATATTAAATAAAATCAAGGAGTTTTGTTTGATGCCTCCTTCCACCATTTTAGCATGTTGGGTGCTATTCTTTTACTATTTACTTCCCCACCACTCACACACTGCTCAGTACTGTTAATAGTTGCTAGAAGGGTCCTATTCTTTCCTTCTGTTAGTTCCGTTGGTGTATTTTTCTACACTGTGAGCAAACGTACTGTAACTACGGACAGGAGTGACCCGATATAAACTCGTAGTACTGACCAGGTACTGTGTTATCACAGTGGCAGTGAACCCAGTCACTACAGAAACGGGATTTGGATTCTGAGTCTCCGGTTTGAATGGCCTACGAGTTAGGTTCTAAGCAAATATTTGATCTCACAGAATGTACTGGTAATATGGATTGCATTCGGAACTCCTTATTCGAGAGTTAACTGTTGGGACTTATGGTAAGTGTCCGCAGGGAGATTTTAGATGCTACTACTCAGTCTTCTCACTATTTTCTTCTATTAGCAGAAAAAAAACACAAAAATGGCTGATTTCACAGGCGTTGAACCACCCTATACTTCCCAGCACAATTGAAGATTACTCGTTTCTCTGTGATTTAAACCGCTGTTGTGGTGTTTTCTATCTATACTTCTCATTAGATTATTATAGGATAATTCGCTCATGCAATTAGAATAAAAACGAATGCAGCATTCATATACCAAAAGCAAAAGATCTAAAGAGGGACGGTTAAGATCACACTTATGGTTATAGTGGCCGTTACTCACAGGATTGCTTGCAATTAGAATGTTTAGGAGCGTGACTTCGATGTTGGTGGACGGAGTGAAGAGTTTCAGTGCATTAAAAGCACGCTGTCGGCAGACCAGTTGGAGTACAGACGAGAAGATAGTTCAGATGATAGAACACATTCAAAGGCACAAATGAAAGATTGAAGGTTGTGTATATGTATTGGGCAAGTATTTTGTAACTTCGCTCAATAAATATACACTCCTTTCACCCATTGTCAACTTTTATAAGGCTGCTACTATTCTGGTACTATTTTCGTCTTTTTTTAAGAAAATTAACCTATGAGATGATCCGTAAAAGCTTTCCTTTGTTAGCTTTCACTATTTAAATACATACGAAGAATTTATTAAGCCAAAGTCATGCACAAACGTGGTCACATTTTCGGATTGGGTCAAAACAATAGATATTCCTGGTTGAATAATCGGCTGTTCCTATCTGAACATTTTGATCATAGTGAAGAATTCTCGTTGTTACTTGCCAATCCTTTGATTGTTTTGTCGGGCAGATGGTTTGATAACACGTGTGGTAAGTTCGTTATCTAGACAAGTCAGTTTCGGCCCATCATTACCTACGGTGTCCCTCCTTCCGTGTTTTTGTACTATGAAATGTTTAGGACTTCCTCTCACAACTTTAAGTAGCCATTTGAATGGAGAACTGAGTGGTGCTCTTGCTTTTTTACACCTTACCTAGACGTACGTGGAAGTACTTAGACCTTTGGGTATATATGTAACTCGCGACTGTCCACGAGCATTAACCGGTTTAAGTTCGTGCGTTTGGTCGTACAGTGGGTCGACAAAACGTGCTAAGCCAAGCTCCTCACTCTAATTACAATGATTGGTGAACTCTCCAGGTGGTTATAGAATCGTCTCAGAAACTAGTTTCTCTGCTGAACACAGTGAGTCAGTTTTGATAGCTTTTCGTATTCCCAACATAATGGCAGGAATTCTGTCTATTGGCTGGAGTTTGAGTGTGATATTAAGGCAGCGTTTGACTGACGGTGGAAACGTTCTACTATCCTATTAGCCTGAAGATGGTTTGCTGTGCCATGTATTCTGTTGGGGTCTAGAAATTTAGATAAGTGCAGATTCAAATTAGGCCACTATATCAGTCGTTACTGTGATACGTGTACCAAAAATAGTCACCCAGTTCTGCATGAAAACTTTGGCCACTCTTTCGTATATTTTTGAGGACTAGGGGTTGAGGCGTCGCCTTAGTTATGTCATGGTAAATCAAACTATTTTCAACAGGTGATAGTAGCTACATTACTTTGAGAATAGAGCTCTTTCCTGTAAGTAGGTTTTACAATCCTTTATCCTCTTTCTGGTTGTCCCTCAACGCCTCAAAATTTACTGTGGTGTTTTGTATTATGCTCATTTTTAGCCGAGATAACACATCTGCTGCCTAATTTTCCTGACTTTCGTAATGTCAGATATCACTGGCGAACTGTGATGTATAGTCAAGGTATCACGTCTCTCGAAGAGATTATTTGTCGGCTCCAGCCTGTAGTGTATTGGTTAGTGGTTTATAAACTATGAATTCCCTGCCTTCTGACATGAGTTCAAAGGTAAGGTATCAATGCAGTAAAAGGTCTATCTGGTCTGTCCTATGAAGACAGACTGAGACACATCGACTTATTTCCGTTGTCTCACCACAGATTGATCTAACAATGGCTTATCTTATTGTGAACGATGACCTCAGTATTAATATGCCTTATCTTTTTCTTCTATCTGAGGCCAATCACCTGAGGGAACATTCTAAAAAAATTTGGAAAACCGAGATCCAATGGTTTATGTAGGGAGTTCCATTTCTCGAACCGATTAGTGAATTACTGGAATTCTCTACCAGAACATATAATATCAGCACTTTATTTTGATACTTCCAAAAAGAGGTTAGACCTCCACGGTGTTACAAATTACAAGGATTAATATACTGGATAGATCTCTTATCCTTACATTTGAAGACTGAACGTTTCAATTGTTTGTGGTTGTTAGGAGTGGTATATGCAAGTAGTGCGTTACAGTAAGTCAACTTTTACGTAAACAAGTATTTCAAAATTTATTTAGTCTGCAGTGATAGTAGGCGAAACTGTCTTTCAGTGCATTTAGTGCGTCTGTTTTCTTCCACTATGACAGTTAAACGTTATCATCTCTGCTTAGAAATATAGTAAATTTTGTATCAGTTCGATAGTAATTGTTTGATACCACTTGATATATTTGCTTTAGATTTTGTTACTTAACTTCATGAGTCTAATCACTTCACCAAATCTGTTTCTACTTGTTTCTCAGGTTTTTACTTCGAATAAACTCTCCATGGAATTTACTAGTGCTTACTTTCATCCGCATCCCGCATTAAAGGTTTTTGACCACTAGAATATCGCAATGACATAACTTGCGGAGTAAGTGATTGGATATACACTTCTTTATAATCTGCTCTTAATGTTGTCTCGTTCATTTTGTCCAACATTGCTCGTTTGGTTTAATGTAAATGTACACCAGTTTTTGAGGATTATAAGTACCTGTATATTTTTTGTTTGCAGACTTCATGAATGTACTCCAAATTCAGTTCCACTCACCACAGTTTCAAACATGACTTCGATAAATATCAAGGCTGCAATGCGCTACTTGGTAAATTCAGGTATAACACTGTCTTCGAGATTAGCTATAGTCGTACAGATCTGTAACTAGGCAATACGTAGACATTGCTTGAGCTTTCGCTCTTCGGTTAAATATTTCATGTTGCGAGCAATTATGATTACTTTAAGTGGTTGCCGGAATGTTAGTGTATAAATAATCACAAAATATGCTAGTGTGTACTCATATGTACTTTATTGTTGTCTCTGATGGAAGCAGAACAGGGCGAGACTAAAGAACATGGACGACCTTTGAACGAATCTTAAATGACCTTGAGAAATATTAGTCAATCAGAAGACAGTTAGCATACAGTAAAAATATATTATATAAAACTCAAAAATTAAAGGGGATACTGTTCTTTTACATGAATCAAAAACTTATCAAGGTTAGATATAGGTTCAGAAGTTCTAAAATCATAGTGCATCCGGCACAGGAACTCATCCCTGTGGCTCCATAGTAGCCGACCTCTTAAACCATGATAAAGTCCCGCAAATTCTTTCTGCCTCGACCACATAGTTTCAGTGTTGTCGGTATGTTGGTATGGCTCAGGGTTTAAGATTAGGGTTAAGGTTTAGGGTTACGGTTTAGGGTTAAAAATGAGACTATGAATTATGGACGACATTTGAGCGACGCTAGGGTGAATCTGAGAGTGTAAACGTAATAACTAAGACTAAATGAGGGTCATAAACCCGTGTGAAGAATTCAAATTATGATTTACAATTCATGGTTAAGGTTAGGAATTATACTTAGGGTTTTCATCACGAACTGACATCAACTATAATGCCACAACTCTATCCAAATGTATAATTGAGTTTTGCGCCAAAATCTTATGATAACTTATCTTGTAGACGCTTATTTATCATGTTTTCTCTAAAATCCGTTGTAAACCGACCGTATGTAGGCATCAGGTACCGAACTTGGCGCCGTGACCTTGAAAACCCACGAAAACTTCTGATTGGCTCGTCCATGTTCTTTAGTCTCGCCGCAGAACAGTTGTCGATGTGAGATTACTTTAGTTGTTTATCTTCATTTCGTTTTTGTCACTTTTAGTTAACTTCATTTCCCTCATACCAAAATACTCGTGTTTTTAAGATCGCGTCTGATCTATTTCTCCATTCTGCGGCTTACACAATGAATGGAAAAGATCGAGAAAATATTTTCAAGCTAATAAAGCGTGCTAAGGTAAATTCATTTCACAGTTTTATTATTTTTATTAATTTTATTTGAACACAAATATTGGTTTAAGGGGGCGTAAGATATATATGCGTCACACAATAAAAAGGAGAATGGGAAGGGATAAAGAATTTAACGTGCGCATAAGAGAGAAGAAAAAAAATAAAAACAATAACGACCACAGATTAGTGTTTGGGAGTGTAATAATAACAATAGTGGGGAAACGGAAACGTTCAGCCGGAAAGAATTCTTCTAGTTAGGGAAGTTACAACCACTTTTTATGAAGGAAGTAAGAAAAGGCTACAACAGGACGCCATTGGCTTCCATTCTGAGCCATATCTGATAACGTCTCTAGCTACTGTGTTGCACCATCTCTAAGACTCCAGCCAGGGAGTCGGGAAGGACCAACAGAAACCAGCCATTCGCAGCTTCTATACCACGACACCTTGTCATACACTGACCACCTCTTTTTTTCCCAACCAGTACCAGCGTCAGCAAATAATACACGACATGGAATTCTCTGGGATGACACTCGTAGAACATGTCCAAGCCACCGAAGTCGATGTTTCAAGATGGTGACAGAAATTGGATTATCGTCACAGCCCGAACACACGATGCCGAACCTCTGCATTACTAACATAGTGTTGCCACTGGGTGTCAGCAGTCCTTCAGAAACAACGATAATCGAACACAGAGAGTCATCTAACCTTAAACTCGGAGAAGCGAGGTTTCACAGGCATACAGCAAAACTGCTCTCACCGACGCGTTGTAGATCTGACCTTTTACAACCAGACTAACATCACGAAGGCGCCAAAGATAGCCCAGATTGGCATAAGCCGCTTTGGCTTTCACCATACGTGCATCGATCTCATCACTCACGCCACCACCAGCACTTATGCAGCCACCTAGATACACGAACGTCTCAGCTACTTCAATCTGCCCGCTACCCAGGGTGAGTACAGGATTAGAATCCTGCCAGTCCTGAAGAGTACCTTGCACTTCGAAGGTATAAAGCACACACCGTACCTACGGACACTGATTGCCAACTGATCAAGTGTGGATTGCATGCCTTGGGCATTATCGCACAGTAAGACAATATCATCCGCATACTCAAGGTCAAGAAGTCGTTCTCCAGGCAGCAGATCCACACCGCCATTACTTACATCCATCAGAGCTGTTTCCAGAATGTCATCGATAGCAAAGTTGAAAAGGAATGGTGAGATTGGACAACCCTCTCTAACCCCACTGCTTGAATGGAATGACACGTAAAACAAGCCTTTTGAAGCAACAGATAAAGAGCGAATTTGTAGTACTTCACCATAGTCTTGAATATGGATCTCTGATAGACAACAGACGTCGATATTAAGACTTTCTAAAGACATAGCCAGCCCTATCTGTTGTCCGATCTGCGTTAGTGCGCGAATGTTGAAGAAAACCAGTTTGAATGGTATACGTGGTTTCAGAAAAACTGTTTCAGAACTCGTATTCGGTGGTAACATTCAATTTTCGACCAAACAATGACTCGAGATCGTTTAGATAGAACAGAGTTTCCATCATAGGCGGACTGCTGTATAAGTTGGAAAATAAGTATACACAAAATTGAGAATGGGAGAGAGTAGATAAGTGACGTATTATATAAAAAATAGAGATAATGTTATCAAATGAATGTGGATTGTCCAAATTTGAATTGAAGCTAGAATAGTATTTCCAGCAGTAATTGTCATTTGACTTAATTTGTATGTGGGATGTGATACTGCCCGGGTGCTGAGACCAAAGCAGGTGGTTTTCTTAAGAAGCCATACACGGGGCCTTTGACATAAAGGTCTAATCCACAAGGCAGTGGAGCGACGTCAGGAGATGCAGCCCCATGGTAGCAGGTGACCAACAATTGATTCATACGCCATTTGTTCCCTCAGGATACTGGAGCCGATGTGCACCATTGGTTTGGAATCAGGGTTTCCCAACTCCCCTAGGTGGACTCACCGGTCCCGTTAAAGCGCCGGACATTCGCTTTTAGTTCTCTCAATTTTGTAAACAACACCCCATCTGAGAGAAGACAGTGAGTATATATATATATCCGTTTACTTAAAATACTTGATACAAGGCAAATTCTTTTTTTTTTAATCGAAGAAAAAAACACGCGGAATATACGTGACTATCTGTTAATTATGGTAAAGAGCAAATGTAACTGCGCCAGTGTTCTTAGTTCGTAGCCACAGTCACTAGTTCTTATCACTTTGATGTCAATAATCTAATAATTCATACATTTCCTTGTGAATTACTCTCTGTAGAATAATTCACCTTAATGTTGTGATCTGGATTTATCTAACTGAAACGCTTATGACCTGTCAACTTTTATTTACAGATTATGCCTTCTTTTTCGCAGGCAAATCTACCATCAATTCTCTCCTTTTACCTGTCTCATTAAACTTAGTTTTCTACATCTCATTGACAGGAATAGCGTCGCGTTGTTTAATTAACCAAATCATCTGTATATGTGTATTCTTCCTCTCATTCTTTTACAGGAGCTACAAACTGAAGAAGAAAAGGATCACTTAAGGTGGGTTCTTATCATAAGTAATTAATATTTAAGACAGTTTTCGTCATGGGCTAACACAAATGGAGCAACTATAAATAATTTGAGAGTGCTAGTTTGTTAATCAATTTTTTCTTGGACTCTATAAGATCATATATCATCTACCTCTGCTAAGTCCTAACATCGTCTCAGGTTGGAAAACTTTGACCACTGGAGTCGCATTAAAGAGAAAAGTCTTTCCTGCTGTAGTTTTAAGATTAATCTTAAAATTAGACTTTTACAAATATCTCCCACATCTCAGAAATAAAGTGTCAAAGCAACTAATTAAGTTCGTATTCCAGCGTTTGTTTGCTTAGTATCAAATAAATAAAAACCCTCGTTGCAAAAACTTGAAGTGATGAAATGAATTTGAATTAAAGGTCTTGGTTTTTCTCACCCGTTATCTAGGAGGGAGGATTTTGGTATGATGACAAAATTGCTTTAGAAAAAAATGAATTTCGCTTTGTACGAACACATCGTGCGATACTAATTTATATCAATCAAATTTGTTGCTTATATCAGTTTGAGTCGTACTTTAAAAATTAAAATAGTCTTTGTTAATATTTTTCCTTAATTCGCATAAATATTTCAGTGAATAATAATGTCAGTACAAACGATTGTTTATATAATTATGTGGTATAATCTACTGTTGTCTTAGAATGTGTCCAGAGGTTGGCTGATTATCACATGAAACCAATAGTTACCTCAACTTTCCTGTAATTACCCACTAGATTTTGATTAAAGTTTTATGGCCGCAAAAAATTACACTATCACAGTCAACTGTATTCTTGTTTGAATTCAGATCAAATTTAATTCTTTCGTCAGAGAGACCTCTAAATGTAGGGAAAATATGTGTTGTGGATATCGGGTTAACTTATATTATGGATATTCTGTTTCATTCTTAATCATTATTCTCGTTCTGATACCTTCAATTTACCGTTCACTTACAATCAAAATGCTATCAGACTATATGAATTCATAGCTTTTATTAAGCTAGGTTTCTCATCAACTTACATCAAGTTAAAGGGTACAGATCAAGCGTTTCATAATGTTTGCTTGGTTTAAACTGAATTGGTTTGTAGCTTTGGAATTCGAGAGACAGATTTTTATACCCTTTATTATGAAGAAGTTTGCACACACATTAATAAAATCTTCAAAGTTGTATTGACTTTTTATAAAACTTTAGATGACATATTGACCTAATCCAGTCCATTTTCAGTAACGTCCAAAACAAAGGAAACAGTATTCCAAGTATTCTGTACAATTATTAAAACTCGACTGATGCATAATATTAGTTTGCTGTTTGTTTCTTATAATCATTTTTCCACCATAATTTATGTGGCTTTAACATTCATTTAAATCAGAAAACGAACCGAAGGTCAACTGCTAAAATTTACAAATGTTATGAAAGGTTACCAATATCGTTGGTTTGTAATAGATCCAGATGCAGGAAGGATAGAATATTATGAGGTTAGTTGATTATCTTATATGAAACGATAAAAAACGAAATTTCCCCTCACAAAATTGATTGGCAAATTTATGTAAAAGTTTCACGCATTATTTAAAATTGTAATTCTAATAATCCTTTATCAGTCACTTCTACCATTTTGTAGTATAAAATATTTTCCTACTTATTTTATGATTCTTTTTCAGAAAGAAGATCATAAACGATCACTTAAACCTCGTGGAGCCCTAAGTCTTATAGTAAGTACCTTTGAATTCAAGAGTTTTAATATTTGCATTCAGATGATTGTCAAACACAACTTAAACAAAATTTTATTTTCGAAAATTTCTTATCAGACTTTACATGTAGGAATATTTGTTGATAACATTCGAATTGTTGTAGTGAATAGAGTTAAAATACATGTTTATGAATGAAGTAATGATAATGATTGTAACAGTCTTACATATCTGTAAGGGCTTTTATTTTACTATTCAATACTCTATTTTATCGATATATCTCAAAATAAGTCAAACCTCGTGTTCAATGTTCCATTCTTAAAAACACCATAAAAATATTCTGGAGTCATATAGGTCTTTATATAGTTTGCCATGAATTGGTATGCATGGAGTAGGAGTCCTAAAAATACAGCAGAACGAATAAATCTAACCGATTGTAAGAATTCAGTCATTCATTGAGTTACACGATATAGAGGGTTATTTACATTCATTTTGCGATATAGAGGAATACAATTTCCCTTGATAAGTTCAATTTTTCTTAACTCATTTGGTCCTAGACCAGATTATGTTTTTTAATGAGAGTTGCTTATTAAGACTAAAAGGGGGTTGTACGTGCATTCAATTGTCTACGGCCACATTTAAAGTGCTTAAGTACCATATAAACCTTTTCGTTCTTGTCTTCGTTGATATTAAAATTACCTTATTTTTCTACAATTTTCAGTATGCCTCCATTTGTCCTTCAGATGAAGATTCACAAACCATTTTTATTAACGCCGCAAATGGTGATTTATTAAAACTGAAAGGTTTGTCTCATAACTTTTTGGTAAAATTTTGGTATAGGAAATAGCTTGGGAGATTTTAAGTTACTATATGATTTTGACGCCCTTTTTCAATCTATGAGCAGAGAGTTTACATCAATGAAAGTATTTCGCTACAAAAGTAATGAAACCTCGTACTAGAGCTTAATGGTTTTTCTAGGTTTATTATCAGTTTTTCGATCCTAATTTTGTAGAAATGTCGCTACGTAAACACATTAGTCTGAATGCGAGTTTATTCACTCCGAAAGTTTCTCTATGAATCCTTGTCATAGCCACAAACAGTTTCATTGAAAATTCATCATCACCTACAAAATCTTTACTGATAAATTTGCTAAGGAGTTACGAAGGTGTAATCATGAGGAAAACACGGTTGCCGTCGTATTGAAATGAAGAACTTATTAACTATTTTGGCATTCCCCCTTCAGTAAACTATCAATTAAATGATTTCCTTTCAAGTTTACCCTAAACAAAGTAATTTAAAAAAAATGGTTGATTCACGTGTTAGAAAAAAGCATTTGATATGTTTAACAATCATTTTCGCTTTATGATAACAGGAAAGAACTCTTCTTAATAAGTTTAAACGTTATGATCAATCATCCAGTTAGTCACAACATAAAACCTAGTAATGTATGTACATCGGTTCAAGTTGCCATGACCAACTAGCATAGAGAGTTGGAATTGTCCAGCGAAATCTCAGAATAGTAGAGGTAGTAGCAGTATGAATGGTGGTAGAAAAGATTACAGTTTGAAGATACAATTTGAGAAGAAAGTGTAAATTAATGAAATGAAAACACAAAAGGAGTTATGAGGAATTCAGAAGCTCAGAATATGGGGGAAGACAAAGAAGGAATGCAGCTGCGCCATTGCAAACGATTTTGTACCATGTCATTCAAATTCGCAAACCATTGGTTACGATAATCACGTTATGAGCATTATCCAAGGATATTTTTGTTGGCAGTTTTGTGTAACGAAACAAAAGTTACTGATTTTTGAATTTAAAGCATTAAGTTGAATGTAGTTTCCTTGACTCTGGTTATCTCGTCCGTATACCATATTTTTACCGTTTGTTTACTTGTATATTTCTATTTGTGTGTGTGTTTGTAAAATGGTTCACGTTAACACTAATTCCGCGAAAGGATCATACTTCGGACATGTTCACTACTTCATTATTGATTTCATTTGTGAAGTCAGTAAATGATTAGCCATCTATATGTTGTAATGAATAATAATTATCTCTAGGCCTAATTCCTTTCGTGTTGTTAACTATTCACAAAAACTATATTTAAACTGAACTCTGTAACGGAGACACCTATTTGTGTTTTGAGGAATTAATGTGCATCACCAAATTAACCTAGATCAACTAGTTTTCGATCCCTTTTTGTAAACATTGACTCTGTTTTCATACCATGAATTTTAAAATATACAGTTATAAGATATTACAACACAACCTGTTTTCCACACAGAAGTTTTTACATTGATGGGGAGGTCAAGGTTTTCTAACAAGATAGCTCTTTTATTTCATACTATTTAAGCCTGGCGTCTTATTTTGCTTGGAAAGGTCGATTGGATGGTGTCAAAAATAAAATTGGGTCAGGAAATGAAGATTTATGTAGACAGTATTATCTCAGTCCTGTAGTCAGTCTAATGCACCGTAGAGCTTACCATACATGTGTATCAGTTCAAGTTGTCACACGATGGCCTGGTGAGATGAAATTATCAAGGCAAATCTCAGAGTAGTAGTACTAGTAACAGTATCAGCAACAGTAGGAAAGAATCACTATAGATGTCGTCATTCGAGGAGAAAGAATAAATTCGTCGATGCGTTCAACTACTTATTTTCACATCATTAGTTTAGGTGTTGACGCAGAGCCGTCCAGAAATAATATTTTCCATTCAGAAGGTAGAAAAATACTTCCCAAAAATTTTTCCATTGTTGCTCAAATCAATAAAAATACTTCGCATTTTGCCAGCGTCTTCACCAAGTAGAACTATACTATCTACATATTATCCCTATTCTCTGTGTAAATACAAACTCATCAACCTCACTGCTTATTACTTTATTTACCATTCTGCAAACCGGTTTTAAAATCCCTTAGGAATATATAGGGTACTTATAAAAATATAAGTTGTAAATGTCAAATGAACAAGAAGGATGATGTTGTCTTCATTTTTTTATACATTTGTTTTGAATTAACAATGAATGGTTTAGTCAAATGTCCCGATTATATCATCAAAGAAACCTTTCTGATTATTTTGTTTCCTGTAAACCAAGGTAAAAAAAATATTGTCTTATCATAGTTGCTTCATAGTCTCCCCTTTAAAATCTCATTACTTGTCGATATAACACCTAAACACCGGACTGTATTTTTTCCTACTATTTAGCAATTGATGCTAAAGAGAGGCAATATTGGGTAGATCGTCTTCGAGCAGTTGCTGAATATCATTCAGAGAAGGCTGAACAACATCCATTAGTAAGTAAATCATATGAATGACAAATTCATGTTTATCTAGGTACATTGTACTGGTGGATTAATCAGTGTTTTGTTTGACTTTTTTATTCCTGATTATTTTACTGTTTGTGCAACTAACTTTCAATAAATCACAAGTTTTATATCTGTTTTAATTAACAATATTTGTGGAGTCACGTAATTATTGCTTTTCACACAACTTATGTCTCATCCGATCCGGAAAACCAGTCTACGCCTCACTTCTGGGTCGGTTATCATTATTATAGTTATTGTTCAAATGCTTTAGTGTTGTTGTACTTAATATTTTCTAAAATGATTACTCTAAGTACTCTGGTATTCTTTTCAATACTTATCATTCTTCTTAGTCGTAACGCCCTCTTGTAAGAATACTTAGTGACTTCCAAAGTATTATAAATAATTTAAAACCTATTTCCCTTCTTTTGCATAAGAAATTTGCTGAATGTATAAATATTCTAGTCTTAAAATTATCTAACTCTTTTTTGATGATTGTTATGAATAAAATGTTCAATATCGTTTCAAACAGTATGGACACACGAAGTATATTTTAAATGTAACCAAGTCTCTTTTCATTATTACTGTGTTAATGAAGTAAAGATTATTTGGCGTATACAATTTAGTACGTAATTCAATCTCAAAACTCTAATCCCTCGAGTCTTTGTATAATTTAGGTATTATTTAACTGTTTTTAACCCGACCATTTAGATATTTTATGGTAGTTTATGTACATTAGGATATGATTACTATCTAGTTCTAGTGATACATCCTGGTTACAAAAAATTTAGGTAGTGAAGGGTTGTTTGAAATTTGAATCCATATTAACTCTTTATCCCGACCGTTGCTGCTACCTTGACGTAGTGGTCGGGCTTGCCTATCGTGGTGAATCAATCGAGCTATACTGGTTGGAACAATCGTTCCTGAAGGTCCTACCATGCCAGACAGGTCGGTTGAAGAGCGGTAAGACTAAAAGCGGCAAACCCAAGGTCAGAAGGCAAAGTCGTACTGCTGACTGTACAGAGGTGTGACAGCAGTATGGTGTTTCCTTCAGACAACCAGCATAACAGCAATGCTGCCTTCCCACAAGGAGGGGTGGGGTTAGAAAAGGTTGACCCTAAAAATGCACACCTCGCCTTATCCCACGGATTTCCGTCTCCGGCGGTAAGGTCCTTTGAAGAACAGAGCTAACACAAAAACTACCCACAAAAAGGTCGTGTGTGACTGACCTCAAACAGTTGTCCCTTGGGCACTGCGGTCACGCTCCCAAGTCATAATGACCACTTCTAACACAATTTTCTTTTCAGGTACCCCTAGAAGAACCCTTCCACGGTATGGGCAACCGGGTAGTGATAACTGCCCTCATACCTCTAACAGCACTCAAGACCACTGTATTCATAATCAATCTCCCTCTTCATTTCCTATAACTCCTCCCACCTCGAATTTCAACGCTAAACTTCCTCTTTCGGTTTCCTCCTCAAGTGTCACCATGGCCAACGATTCTAGTGCGCGAAACGCTGTCCCAGGTCTACTAAAACCTCGCTCCAAACTACACATTGGAGCCTTCAACGTACGTTACTTACTTACTTACGCCTGTTACCCCTTGTGGAGGAGCATAGGCCGCTCACCAGCATTCTCCATCCAACTCTGTCCTGAGCCTTCCTTTCCAGTTCTTTCCAGTTGCTATTCATCCTTTTCATATCGGCTTCTATTTCTCGGCGTAGTGTGTTCTTTGGCCTTCCTCTTTTCCGCTTCCCTTCAGGATTCCAAGTTAGGGATTGAGTCGTGATGCACATTGGTGATTTCCTCAATGTATGTCCGATCCACTTCCAACGTCTTTTCCTAATTTCCTCTTCAGCTGGAAGCTGGTTTGTCCTCTCCCATAAAACGCTGTTGCTGATAGTATCCGGCCAGTGGATGTTGAGTATTTTGCGTAGACAACTGTTTATAAATACTTGTACCTTCCTGATGATGGTCGTAGTAGTTCTCCACGTTTCAGCTCCATACAGTAGGACTGTCTTGACGTTCGTATTAAAGATTCTGACCTTGAAATTGGTTGAGAGTTGTTTTGAGTTCCATATGTTCTTCAATTGTAGAAATGCTGCCCTTGCTTTTCCAATCCTCGCCTTTACATCTGCATCCGATCCCCCTTGTTTATCAACGATACTCCCCAGGTACTTTAATGTTTCCACCTGTTCCAGAGTTTCGCCATCAAGTGTGATTGGGTTGGTGTTCTCTGTGTTGCATTTGAGAATCTTGCTTTTTCCTTTGTGAATGTGGAGGCCTATCGATGCGGAGGCTGCTGCTACATTTGCTGTCTTCATCTGCATTTGGTCGTGTGTATGAGAGAGGAGGGCTAGGTCATCTGCGAAGTCCAAATCATCTAATTGATTCTGAGAGGTCCATTGTATTCCGTATTTCCCTTCAGATGTCGAATTCTTCATAATCCAGTCAATCACTAGAAGGAAGAGGAATGGGGAGAGTAGACAGCCTTGTCTGACTCCGGTCCTTACTGGAAATGCATCTGTCAGCTGTCCTCCATGCACCACTTTGCACTGTAGTCCATCGTATGAGTTTTGGATAATGTTGACGATCTTCTGAGGAACTCCATAGTGTCGAAGAAGTTTCCATAATGTTCTCCTGTCCACGCTGTCAAACGCCTTCTCATAGTCAATGAAGTTGACGTATAGTGATGAGTTTCACTCAACTGATTGTTCAACGATGATCCGTAGTGTCGCAATCTGGTCTGTGCACGACCTATCCTTACGGAATCCAGCCTGTTGATCTCGAAGTTCGGCGTCTATTGCGTTTTTCATCCGATTCAGCAGCACTCTGTTGAAAACTTTTCCTGGTACTGATAACAAACTGATACCTCTGTAGTTCTCACATTGGCTCAGATCTCCTTTCTTTGGTATCTTGATGAGATATCCTTCTTTCCAGTCCATTGGCACTTGTTCCTCTTCCCAAATCTTGAATAGAAGGTGAAGCATATTTGCAGTTATTTCAATGTCTGACTTCAGTGCTTCTGCTGGTATATTGTCAGGTGCTGCCGCCTTCCCACTTTTGATTTGTCTGATGGCCATCTTGACTTCTTCGATCGTTGGTGGAGTGACATCTATTGGAAGGTCAGTGTGGGCTGCTTCGATGTTCGGTGGATTCAATGGGGCTGGTCTATTCAGCAGTTCCTCGAAGTATTCTGCCCATCTTTTCCTCTGTTCTTGAATCTCAGTGATTGTTTTTCCTTCTTTGTCTTTGACTGGTCTCTCTGGTTTGCTATATCTCCCTGCCAATTTCTTCGTTGTATCATATAGTTGTTTCATATTTCCTTCCCTTGCAGCTTTTTCCGCCGTCGTTGCTAGTTCTCCCATGTAGTTCTGCTTGTCGGCTTTAATGCTTTTCTTCACTTCCCTGTTTGCTTCTGCGTAGTCTGCTTGTGCTTTGACTTTCTCTGCTCGTGTCCGGCTGCTGTTAATTGCTAGTTTCTTGTTCTTCCTTTTTTGAATTTTGTCCAGGGTTCCCATAGAGATCCATTCCTTGTGATGATGCTTCTCAGGACCAAGAACCTCCTGACACGTTGAAGTTAGTGCTTCTTTTATCCCTTTCCAGTTGTCCTCCAAAGTAGTTTCTTGTTCATTCAGTAGATCCTGTAGAGCTTGGAACCTGTTGTTGAGAGTTATCTTGAATTCATGGAGCTTGTCAGTATCTCGAAGGAAGGCTGTATTAAACCTTTGTAGTGCTGTTTGTCCAGTTGTCCAGTGTTTCTTAAGCTTCAGTCTCATCTTAGCCACAACCAGGTGGTGATCTGAAGCTATGTCAGCTTCAACGTACGTACCCTAAGTCAAATCGGTCAACAGGCCTCCTTAGCTAAAACCCTAGAATCTCGTACCATTGATGCATGCTGTGTCTCCGAAACACACATATGGGATCCTAGTGTGGTCATTCACTTGACCTCACCTCACCAAAATGGACAACCAACGAAATACTTCCTCTGTGTATCTGGCGACCCGTTAGCTAGTTCTCGTGGACTTGCAGGTGTAGGCATAGCAGTTAGTACAATGGCAGAACAAGCACTATTGGAATGGATCTCCGTTAACAGTCACCTGTGTGCTGTTCGGCTAAATGGCTCCGTAAGAACTCGGAAGGATAGAGACACACGTCGTTCCCTTTTCGTCGTTTCTGCGTACGCTCCCATTGACTGCAGCCATGATGAAGTGAAAGATGACTTTTACAGAAAACTCTCTGAGCTTCTTCAGAAAGCTAAGCGCTCAGACATAGTAGTCGTAGCGGGTGACTTTAATGCCCAGATAGGCAGCTTAGATCAAACAAAAAGACATTTAGGTGGGTGTTTTAGTATTCCGGCTCAACGGACCGATAATGGTGATCGTCTGTTGCAACTATGCTCAGACAATCGTTTATTTTTAGCAAACTAACTTTAAACATAAGGAGAGACATCGCCTGACATGGCGACCACCTGCACCAAACCAACGATGGACTCAAATAGACCATATTGTCATCGATCATCGTTGGAGAGGCTCAATAGAAGATTGTCGCTCGTATTGGAATACTTGTTTAGACTCTGATCACGCTTTAATACGAGCGCGCATTTGTCTGCGCCTCAATGGATGCAGGGAAAGTACACTAAGAAGACCCATTAGGATTGAACTGGAGGAAGAGAAAGCCAAATGCGAATTCCAGAAACAACTGAGTTCACATCTAGGCAGTTCTGTAAACGAGACTGACCCAGATGCTGCTTGGAAAGACACACGAATAGCTGTGGCAACAGCAGTAACATGAGTTATTTAAACCATAGGGCTCCAAAAAACTAGTGGATTTCTTCTAAGTCTATTTCACTAATGGATTCGCGTAAACAAATTAGATCTAGGTTAACCAAAAGTCTGAAGAACGATCGTGAGCAGTGGTGGGCAACGAAAGCAAAAGCGATGGAAAAGGCAGCGGCTGTTGGCAACACCAGGCAACTATTCAGACCAATAAAAGAAACCGGAATTAAGAAGTCAAGTGTAAGTGAGACAATCTCGGAAAAAGACGGAACCTTTATCTGCTCTCAACCCAAACGTTTAGAACGATGGGCGGAACACTTTAAGGAGCAGATTAGCTGGCTTCCATCTACTGCACAACTACCCACTATTCCCAGAAAACCTGAATGGAACATTGAAGTAGGCCCCCCGACCCTACTTGAAGTTCAAAAGGCTATAAGTAATCTGAAACGAGGAAGAGCAGCTGGTCCAGATGGATTGGCTCTAGAGGTCTTTAAATATGGTGGTCCAATTTTAGCGATTAGGTTGACTAATATTCTGGCTAAAATCTGGGAGACGGACGTAATCCCATCTGACTGGTCACAATCACTGATTGTCCCAATATATAAGAAGGGGCCAAAATCATCCTGTGATAACCATAGAGGGATTAATCTGACTAACATAGCATCTAAAATACTAGCCTCAATAATTATCGGGCGCCTAACTAAGACTCGTGAACTGCAAACATGAGAAAATCAGGCTGGCTTCAGACCTGGTCGTGGCTGTATTGACCACATATTCACCATTCGTCAAGTTTTAGAGCACAGACATGCTTGTCGGCGTCCGACAATGATAGTTTTTCTTGACTTGAAAGCAGCATTTGACTTTGTAGACCGAGATGTTCTGTGGCTGTGTCTGTCATTGCAAGGTGTACCTGAGAAGTACATAAACCTTGTGAAAACTCTTTACTCGAACACTACCAGTCGAACTGTCATATGATTTTACAACCTCAAGTGGTGTCCGTCAAGGCTGTCCACTATCCCCATTTTTGTTTAACTTCATTATAGACCTGTTGCTGGAAATAACACTCTCGTCGACTGAATTTACAGGAATCGATCTTCTACCAGGAGGTCCATTTATCGACTTAGAATACGCAGATGACATAGTCTTGTTTGGTGAAGACGCTGACAAAATGCAGAGTCTTTTAGTAGCACTGAGCAACAATGTCAAGATGTTTGGAATACGTTCCTACCCCTCTAAATGTAAATTGTTACTCCAGGACTGGCCTGCATCAACACCTGAACTAAGGATAGGGAGTGAATTAGTTGAATACAGTGACAACTTCACTTAGAAGGCTGATCAGCCTTAATGGGTTAGTGTCTGATGAAATTTCTACACAGATTCAGAAAGCTCGTTTAACGTTTGCCAACGTACGTCATCTATGGTGAAGGTGAGATATCTGCCTATCAATTAAGGGACGAGTATACTGCACAGCAGTTCGCTGTGTTCTACTTTACGATTGCGAAACATGGCCATTAAGAGCAGAAAATACTCGTAAGTTACTAGTATTTGATCTCAGATGCCTTAGAAATATTGCTCGCATCTGCTGGGATCACCGGGTAAGTAATAGTGAGGTTAGACACAGGGTATTAAGGAATGACGGTGAATCAGTTGATGAGGTTGTGAATCTTCATCGACTGAGATGGTTGGGTCACGTGTTACGTATGCCCGAATACCGATTACCACGACGCGCTATGCTGACTAGTATTGAGGATGGTTGGAAGAGAGTTAGGGGCGGCCAAACCAAAACGTGGCATCAGAGCTTGAAGTTACTAACTTCTAGTCTGAGCCATGTTGGTAGATGCAGACTTCTTGGTTGGGGTCCGCGTGACTATCGTAATCAATAGTTGGAGACTGTTTGTGACATGGCTCAGTATCAATCACAATGGAGTAGGTGTATACACTTTTTGTCTTCCCTTATACCATGAGATTAAAATTGCTTCATAACTTTTTTCCTTCCTATACTATATCCTTATATACAACCTTTCTTTATATACTACCACCACTAAATTAATTACTTCTATGAATCCGGTGTTGATCTTGTTGTGTTAACGAGGTATGGCAACTTGGACCGATGCATAAATGTGCCTGGTCCTACGTTGTAGCTGACTGACTTTATCAACTACATATTTATTTACTTAGCTTTGAACTACACTGTTTATATAACCGATGATTGTGCTATCCAACTATCTGATCATAAGTAGGTGTGACTGGTTTTGAACCTGAAACCTACTTATTTGAGACCGAATATCATAGCCACTAAGCCACCTCACTCACTCTAATCGATAAGCCAGTTACTGAACTTGTCTGTTTTAAAATTGTTACATTCGTATTTGATGACCGAAGGCCTCTCTATCCATCCGACTTGGGCCATCTATCCAAGCCACTATATATATATATATATATATATATATATATATATATATATATATATACCTCACGTAAATCACTTTGACCGGAATGACATTGGCATGGTCAGATGTGTTTTTGTTTGATTGTACCTAACATTATTGTTTTGTTCCTATGTACTATTTAAACTTGGGTTAATTTAATCTGGCTATTTATTCTCTGAAGAAGTGGCATACACTGAGTCACGAAACGAAAATTCAATTTTTCTACTCATCGAGATATTACAAATATGTTATTTTTATCTATTAATATATTAGTTTTAAATAATTCTATTTCTATGTTCTTAGTTGTTGATGCTAAGACATTCTTATATTTAACCTATAAATATTCACATTAATTAACATACGAATGTCTCTTATCATTCTTCCATACTGATTGATCATTTCATTCATCTTCATTAATAAGAACTTTTCCAATGTTATAAAGTACATAAACCGATTTTTAGAGATTAATAATAATATGTTTAGGTTGTAAGTAGTTGACAAGAAACTGCAAAATATAATGAATTCATGTCATTCTGCTACATTAATTGTTCTTGTTTTAGTCAAATTCGAATGCCTTATACATGTATCTTTCCAATATTGTTTGGTTGCCTGTCTATCCAACTATCCGTTAATCATTTTCGATTATTCTGTTGATGTTTAAATACCTGAGACACTCGTGTTTAATACTTTTTATGGGGATTGCTTCGGCAGCGCGTATTGAATTCGACGTTCGTTGTTCATTGATTATCTGGAAGGGCTTTGAGACGTCGAAATCATGGCCACCATCAAGAAGATGGAGTGCGATCGTACCGTCGAAAACGTGATGCCCTCTCAGTTTAAGCCTTTTTGGAATGTGCTCGGTGATGCTTCGTAAACGTAAACTGTTCGATATAATTGGAGGCAATAGAAGTTGGGAATTTGTTCACACTTGACTGTCTTAATGATCAACTCATTTGATACACAAAGGTCAACTTGGAAGCTGGATACATCCTTTTCATTTTGGTTTTGAATGTGAAATCAGTCTTTCCACCTGCTTAATGAATAAGTCTTCGGAAGACGTGCTCCTCGTCAACTACAGTATACTCTTTTTACGTCGGTATGAGTAATCATTATCACGTGAACAACCTTTAGACTATGGTTAATTGCTCATTATTTTGTATTTTTTGAACATAATCTGACACGATTGAACAGCGTTTTCACCAAGGCTCTTTTTTTGCCACGGTCAAAAGCTATTAAAGTTTAAGTACAAGCCACTCCACGTGTTCTTTCGAAAAATATATCTTTCCAATCGATCATTTGTATTATGCGTCATACCAAGGTTAAGAAAATGAAATACATTGTCTTGTTCATGTTCTATTGTAAATGTGATCTGAAAAATGTAATATATGTTATGTGCAATGTATTTCAGATAATCCGACCATACATTTACTTGTCAAAATGGTGAATGGGGATATACGATTGAGAAGAAAAAATATAGAGACAGAAGATCAAGATGAGAATTTAGAGTGAATACACTAACACCATTTTAATCGGCTCTGAACTATGTTACCAAAAGTCTACTACTATTAATTGTGGTAGCAGCTACGACTGTTTTTGCGACTATAATTAAGTTTAAAGTTTTGACAAACGTTTGGCTACTTTCACCCATACGTCTTGATGTTTTCAAATACTGGATCTTATAGTATTATAGAATTTTCCCATAATTAAAAATTGCCTACCTGAATTCTGTGTTAAAAGTGGATAATACCTGCCTTTGGATACCTTAAATTTCATCAATCAATTAGGTTGAGATAAATATGTGTATTTCTGTAGACACCTTTGTAGTTTATTGATAAGATTTGGATCCTAAGCTCTTCTAGTAACCCCCAGGATAAATCTACACAGCGATTTGAACACGAGAGGAAAGGCGCCAAATACAGAAGAAAAGCTTTACTTCAAAGTTCGTTTATGTACGGAAAATCTGGGTTTTTATAGCATTTTAGATGGCCTTGGTTTTCCGGAGAATTCTGGAACTCTACTAAACATAGTAGCAGTATAGGAAATTATTCATTCAGAAACTCAGCATATGACTTTTCACTTTCTAGATGTTTCTGGTAAAACTCCTATTAAATGTTGGTTGGATAGGATACTTCTCAGTGTTTTCTGAGCCTTTTTCGGCTGTTTTTTCGAGGAGTTTTCTGAATCTCTCCAATATTTATTCACCTCTAGAGTATTTCATTGTCGTATTTGAGTGGGAAAGATTCCTTATCAGTTCATGCTTTCTAAGTCTACATTGTTCTGTATCCAGATGTATCAAAATAAATTATAGGTCGTATCAATTAGATCGATCAATCATTAAAATAATATATGAAAATAGTTTAGCGTAAAACAACTTTTTTCCCCAAAAATTTCGCTGTTTCTGATGATTTATCTTTTTACTAATTACTAATTTTTAATCATTTCATATTTGATCAAAACTTAAAGTATATTATCCTTTGTTTCCTCTTTTAACAGATCACTACTTTATCTGGAACTTCTGAATCCTCTAACCATGCAGATTCACAAAATACCGGATCTCAAGTGCCAAATTCTTGTAAGTTGTAGCGTTTGTTTTCTCAAGTTTACTCTTTTTATTGGATCAGCCTTGGCAACAATATTAAATGAATTGGAGTTAAGAATGTAAACTATTGGATACCGATTCAGTAATATGTGTCGAGCATTCTCCATCGATCCTAACGGTCCTGAGTTTGACCTCCTACGGAGTCGTGTATACTTCTGAGGAGTCCCATACTAGGACGAAGCAATCATCTAGTGCTTCCTAGATTACAATGGTTGTCCAAATAAGAGCAATCCGTGAAATCAGTGAAATTAAATAACTTAAACCCCCTAAATAGTACATAATATTTGACTACTCTTTGTGCATACTTTTAGATTGTGTTATGTTCTTTTGCTACGTAGCATTCCCTGACCACAATATCTCTTTTGACTGTTCCCAAATTACAATAAGAATTGAGAGCAAACGGTTTGAATCCAAAAAAACTGAACAACAAAGATACAACACTAAAAACATTGAACTTTATATGAAATTTACATCAGCACCTTCTAGTATCTCGATTTGTCCACTAGGGTTGATTGCTAAAAAATGCACCAATCAACGTATTCTGATATAAGGGTTATCAGAGCATGCAATTATCAGGACTTCATTTTGTTAATAGAATGAATAAAATCACATACATATCACTAATGATATCCTAGTTTGTAGATTGTAGCTTCTATCTTTATCTTACTAGTGGCGACTTAAATTAATACTAAATTTTCCATACAAGCTCAACAATCAGACATATGTTCATGTTTAGACACCATCTTCGTTTAAATAAGCCTTAGTGTTTTGTCTTCACAATTTTCGTATCAATAAAACACCGGTCTCTAACGTTTGTTGATAAATATTGATTATTCGAATTAAATTCACTTAAAGTTACATTTTTCAAGTTCATTTTTCAACCATTTTATAATATTATCTTTTGCTCTATCCTGCTTCACTTTTTAGCCAAGAGTTCACAGTCAAATGAAGTTAATCATACTAATGATCAGTCTCCTAATGGAAATTTTCCTATTGCAGAGTAAGTTGTGCATGTTGTTGTAAATCACCAAAATAGTATATGCTTAAAATTTCCTAAAATAGTTTAATTGTTTCGATACTTATTTACACATTTACAGTTAGTTTTGTATATAATTTGATGTGCTTCTTCTTTAGAATGAAATAATAATGAATAGTGAACTTGGTTTTTAACTTCTAGGTCAGAGTTGATCGCTTTTACCAGTCCTCGAACAGTGTGGAACTTAAACCGGAACACGGCGAGACCATAATTTATCAAAAACCTTTAAGCAATACCAAAGTGATTTTGAGAAAATTGAACAACCAATTAGTACGTCCAGATGTATGTTATAAACCAGTGTGAGGAATTAGGATTTGGATTTAAAGTCAGGATCTTTATCACGAATTCGCATCAGCTATAATATCAAAATTCTGTTTAGCCAATATGGATAAACGAATTTTGCGCAAAAATCCAAGACTTGCTATCTTCTATCTAATTTATTTATTATTTATTTAAACACATGAACATTGGTACAAGTGAGCACCAAATAGATATGGGTCACACAAATCACTGGATATGTGTGAGGGCTGGGATAATGCCCGGGTGTCCAAAACGAAGCAGATGGATGTCTTAGGGGTCTACACCCCCAAACATTTGACTTAAAGGTCTAATTCACAAGGTAGTGGAGTAACGTTACGAGATACAGTCCCATTATAGCCGGTGACCAATAACAGGTTCATACCCCATTTGTTTCCTTAGCATCCTGGAGCCCATGTGCACCATTGGTTTGGAATCAGGGTTTCTCATCTCCCCTAGGTGGGTCCTTCGTATCCACCTACTCGATTAAATCGCCGGACATTCGCTTTTCGTCCTCTTAATTTTGTAAACAACAGTAATGTCGCGATAACGTAGTGAGTAGGACTTCCCTGGCAGCGGCTGTATACGCGTGTCCATGTGACAGTGTTTGGAGAGGGAGAGCTGACTCTCTTTACCCTTGGCCGTACCAGGGTATTTGGGGGCTATATCTGTTGTGACATTAAGGCCGTCTGGTTATCATGTGATTTACTCACCAATCGAAATACGACTTATCCAATCTTGGTATTGTACCAAACCATTGACGTTCGATCGGTATGTGCAGCCTAGCATCCTTATTGGTCCTTTGTTCTCCTAGCCCGTCCATTTAATTCCAGAACACCAATAACAATTTCCACTATGCGAATCATTTATTTCAAACATGCTTGGTCTATATACCAGCCAAACAGACCACATCACACCATAAAATGGGAAATAACATTTGCACAAGATCAAGCCAAAAAGTGGTTGTGAACGTGGGAGACTGTAATCAATAAACTGAACATAACTTAGGGACAGTAAATCGTATGATAATAATCTATGGGTCAAAATGAAGCTTATAATAAGAGGAATATAGATATACATTATCTGGTCACTGAACTGTTATACAATATACGCGGGATCGCGTATACTCTCTGCTGTGGTGCCCCACACTAGGATGATTCGGCTGTGTAGTGTTTTCAGGTTTTCAATGACGGTCTAGCTTAGGTCAACTCATGAATTCAATTATTAAAATAACTACGATTTCCACAAATCCCCATTCTGATATTTATTTGTTCTTTTATAAATGAAATACATACATATTAGCGACATAAATAATATACCGAACAGTAACTGGATGATAAGAAAAATGAGTCAACAAAATTTAATATCGATGAAAAATTCCCATTATATTAAAACACAATTATATAAACGAAGAATATTTTTTTTCAATAATTTCTCATCAGGTTCTACAATTATAAATCCAAATTAATAATCCATAAAATTGGACAAGTTTAAGTTAGAGTACATCATTTAAAATTATAACATGTGAATTAAGGATTGTTTGTTAAATCAAATCGAATCATTAATGTTGGGATGATTTATACGAAGTGTTAACTTGAATTAATTTATAAATGAAATGAAATTGTGAGACAAATAATGATCAGAATAAATATGCTCAATATGGGGTGAGATAGTGAATAATAATGGGATTACAAATCGAAAATCACGTAATATGTGGAATAATATGTACTAGATCAGATATAGTAGATAGGAGTGAATGCTGAATAAATTTCTCAAAATGGTTAGCAAGTGTAATAATAATGACAATGGTACGATGTGTGGATAAGTTTTAAGTCACCATATCATAGGATTGATTATTAACAAGTTGGTCATGATAAAAGAAGCGGCTAAACATATTTCTTTAGGATGCAAAGCTCTGCCTTTTTAATCCGAATAGCAATTGCTTCAGCCGTGTGCAGGATTCTCAGTCTGATGGATTTAAGCATACTTCTGTCAACACGATATATTATTGTGAAAGATTGCGCCATGTTGGTTGCATGTCCCGTTTGAATTAAATGGGCTTAAATGGATCTGTGAACAGTTTTAACTAGACCTTTGTGTAAGCCCGAATATACAAATCCTTAGAACATCTGCCAATATAACTTGCTCCACAGGAGCAGTTGAATTGAGGGATACAGAAATGAGTGGTTAGTCTAAGCAATTTATCTTTCAACCTTGGAGTGATCATCGGACGTGTGAAAAACATTAATTTTAGTTCACCTACATTAAAAGTTGTTTGGATCGATCTGCATAACATCAGTCTTAGCATTTCACTAGGTGCATCGCCTCTGAATTGTAAGCGTATATACAGAGGCTTTTTACTCACGCAATAACGTTTGAAGCTAACGATACTGGTTTTGAGTCCCGGAGTGAACATCAGCCTTAGGATGCAGGTGCATCCAGGTGACCAGTCCCAAGTAGGACGAAAGCACGTCCTGGATTCCACAACTAGCTACTATCTATCTTTGCTTATAATAATTGTGTATTTATATGTTTATGCGCGTTATTCGGTAACGCAATAAGCTTCCTCTTCTGCTATTCCCTGTTTCGCTGAAATGGCCAGCCGGAGTGGGATTAGCGCATAGCAAGTTGTATATCGGTATCAGATCTCGGGCACCACTTACCATAATAGCACTTATGTTTAAAATATGAGTTATAAATATAACTATACCATACAAGTGATTGGAAGATATGAGTTTACCCATCTTATCAATGACTAATAAGTCTACATCAAACTAAAACTGAAGACATTTTTTTACAATCAAAATCTTGAATTATACATAGATTATCTTTGATAAATGGTTTTCTTTTTGTTTAGTGGTGTACATTTAGTGATTAGCATTAATTTGTGTGCCTACATTTTAAGATAGTTGAAACAAACGTCTATTTCTTTTCTTTTTAAGCGCTAGTACATTCCCCGTATTCTGTCCTGGTCGCCCATCTGATCCACGAGTTCAACTTGGAGAATTATTTCGTCAGTTAGAGTTTGAAAATCATGCACTTTCCACTGTTATTGATGTATGTCATGTACATATTGTTTTGACTTTTTTTCGAACTAAGAAACATAGTGAAAACAATTAAAGTTTAGTATATATTTGTAAAAGTACTTTCTGATCTCTATTGATTTATGACAGTAAAGTCAGTCAGCTATTATCAACATTAGGACCTTGTACAATTTTGTGTCAATTTACGTTGCCGTCATACATCGGGACGGTGAGAAAAAAATCAACAATATAAGAAGGATAAAATGAAAAATATCTAATAGAAGTGGATTCTAAACACTCAAGAAATACAGTTCAAAATAAATCAATGCGATTAAGGAATGGAAGTGACAAGTAACTTAAGGTTTTGAGAAAGTTAGATAATGAGTAATAAAAACTGCACCGCTGTGACCAATATTACACCATATCACCCAACGGCTTGAACCATTGATCGTGAATATTGTCTTTTGATGGAGAACAGGCCCCATCAAACCCGGAAGCCTGCATCTATCGACGTATTTCAAGTGAACAACCAATTACCTCATGAACTGAAATTACTATACCTTAGTCTGTTCACCCTAGCCCTTTATTCCAACTTACGCTGGTATTACAGGAGTTAAGTGTAGCTGTACTAAATTTTTACAAACCACTGTATGTCACGTACTATACTGTTATATCTGCTATTGGACACAACACTTTACTCGACTAAAATTGAAAGCGAACGAAAATGTATTTCAAAAATCGAAACAGAAAAATTGATGTATCAAGAACATTATTGCCTACATAAAATCTACACAGGAATATTCTAATGTATTTACAATCCCTTAGCACGAATTGATAGAAAAGTAGATCAGTTAGCATCCTCCGACATAATCTTCTCTGGAGCATGCAATAATCAAAACTCTATACTGCTAACATATATAACAATTATGATCAGAATGGGAGTTTGTAGAGATTGTGGTAATTTTAATAGTTGAATTCATGAAAACCAGGTTTTCAACAGTGATCTAGCTTAAATCGCCTCATGAATTCAAATAAACAGTTATAAATTTCTATTCTACAGTTTAAATTGTAATATCTACCTTCGGATGCCTTTACATTTAATAAGTTCAGGGTTGTGACTCATTTTGTTTGAGCGTTCCTTACTTATACATTTTGAGTAATTAGGTTTAATCCACCTTCGCCTACCATAGTCCGGTTACTCAAATTCTATCTCTGATCATTACTTAATAATAAGATGTTTTAAAAATTCTTTATGTCTGTTCTTTACGCGATTAGAGAACCTCCATTCGAAGTCCGGAAATTACTGATGTATTCAAAGTAAGTTGTTTTTCATAAATAGAACTTTTTCTTCTTCTTCTTCTTATTTGATACACTTAAACAGTTTACAGTTAAGAGTATATTTCACTACCTATAGCGCCTTTTAAATGATTTTGGAAAAGTAAAGCCAATTTCCTATCAATCAGGATCTAAGCGACATAAGTAATTAAATATATAGAAACGAAAAAAGTTTAGGGTTAGGATCGAAAGCTATGACTAGAGTTGGCGAGATTCGTTTTTAGTCAAGCTAATAAACAATTACCCAGATGGTTATTTGATTTCAAGGCGAGACTGTAATTTATGAATGAACTTATCATATTTAGGGTAGCAGATCTTGAATTTTGGCGCTAAATTTATTCACCCGTTTGGCTAAATTCAATTTTGGCATCATAGCTGATGTCAGTTCGTGATGAAAACATTAAATCTAATTCCTAACCCTAACATTCAACTGTAAATCCGAATTCCGATTCCTCACACTAATATATAACCCTCATTTAACTTTAGTAAATGGACATTTCAAGGTCATTTTAGCGTTGCTGAAAAGTCCATAAATTACAGTCTCATCGAACAAGTTCAAACTCATTGTTTTGATGCTGATTAATTATAAGTGTCTCATAATTACTAACTATTGGTACGTTTGTCCCACTTCTAACTTTTCGCTTAATAAAATACAATCTATCCGTTACTACGTTTTGAATCCTGCACAGTGATAAAAGAGCCGCTATCTCACATTTGTCTGGTTTATCAGAAAAGTATACTTTGACAATTTTGCATTCTATATTATTTTTATTATTTAATAATATGGTATATATATCCGGGCATAAAATATCAGTCGTTCAGTGATATCTATCTCTCTAGTCAATATCATTTGTTCAAGGATTGTATCGTGCATATTGTTTACCAATATTTGACCACTAACTGGACAATAACACGAACACTTGTCGTTTTATCATATATTACTTCTTCATGTTGTCCTAGATTTCAGTATTCTAGTTCCAGTATTTTATTAATTCAAGAAGTTGGTCGACTTTAACTTGGTAAATTGATGGCTGAAAAGATTTTAAAACCCATAAAATCTTCGAGTCTAACACATAAATCAATCTGTATTATGTAAAAAGGAGTTTACTTTTCAATAGTTATCTTTCTCACTACTTTACTCTTATAATATCGAATTATACTTAATTAACTCATAGTAACTTAATATAATAGAGTCTTTTTGTTTCGTTTTGAGACGGTATCAACTGTAAATGCAATTTCATATTCTTGAGTATAGTAGTTTGTAATTAAATGGGTAGTTGTTGCATAATTTCGCTAATTTATCAACATAACAATTGTTTTCAACGATACATTGTTCAGTCTATGGAGTCGACCAATATATAAGTATGATAAGAAAACTTATCTGTGTATGCAATAATGTAAAACAGTTATTGTGTTTGGGAGTTGTACGGTTAGGTTTAATTTACATAATGCCAATAGCAAATGTTTTGTAAGTGTACAGTAAGACCAAATCATTATCTTAATTTTCTCAATTTAATTTCTTAATGACAATACAAACGTCTTTATATTTTAAATATTAAAAAAAATTGAAGTTGGCTAGTTCATTACTGTCTACTTTATGCCATGCAGTTTTCCGCAAAGTAACTTAGTCAACTTATTAGTGACATGTGGTGTATTTCATCGTTGTTTTTTAATCACTTCATAAATGACCCTTTTATAATTCCTGATGACTCTCTTTAACCCTTCAAGCGATTTCAACGCTATCGGATACAGCGTACTCAAGAACATGTTTTTGGTATCTATGACACCGTTCGAAACAATGTAGCTAGTACCTTTGTAAGTTATTTACGTTCATAGTTTGCAGAAAAGGTGATCAGTCGAGGAATATTTGTATTGAATCAAACTAAAGTATTAACTGATTTGAAAATGTTTTTTTAGAAATTAAGTTTACTACTCGACATTCCTTTTCAAAACTATAACTAGATATTGTATAGTCCGATATATTATGTAATATGCTCCGAATTTAATTGTGATTGAATTAATATTAATGGCAAATATTTACCTCTTTTTTCAAAAACAAACAAACAGAATCTTCTTTTATCAAAAGCAACAAGTCAAGCAACATTAGATTGTTTAAAACGTTGTATGGAATTGATCAAACATCAAGATATAACAAGTGTGGTAGAAAATGGTAAAATGGTTAGTATTAGATTTGATTTGTTTTGTCCTTTTTTTCATAAAGAAGAAATAATATAACTGGTGTTCATAAGATAATGTTCATTTATATAAGATTAATAATAACCCTATGATATAGATATCTATGTGTTTTATCATTTCAACTAACCTGTAATATATTCCCACCCCCAAATGCCCTGATACGGCTGAGAGTGTAGAGAGTCCGCTCTGCCTCTTGAAATGCTCTCACATGGCCACGCGTATATAGCCTCTGCCAGGGAAGTCCTACCCACTGCCTTCTCCTGGCATTACTGTTGTTTACAAAATTGAGAGGACGAAAACCAAATGTCCGGCGCTTTAACCGGGTTGGTGGACATGACGAGTTCACCTAGGGGAGTTGGAAAACCCTCATTCCAAACCAATGGTGCACATGGGCTCCAGTATCCTGATGGAACGAATGAAGTATGAACCAACTGTTGGTCACCGGCTACCATGGGACTGCATCTCCTCACGATGCTCCATTGCCTTGTGGAATAGACCTTTAGGTCAAAAGCTCCAGGTGTGGCCCCCTAAGAAAACCACCTGCTTCAATTTGGGCACCTGGGCAGTATCACAGCCCTAACACAAATCGAATGAGATTTGTGCGGTGCATATGTATCTGGTGCTTCCTTGTACCAATATTTATATGTCTAAATAAATAAAGTAATATTTTCCCACTTCTGATTTAATTACATATACAATAGTTTATACCTAACTTTGTTCATTATTCTATTTACAATACGTAAAACGGATAGCTTAGTGTATTAATGTAATTATGATGAATTTTCATTACAATTGATTATTGTTTGTTTAATATGACATTACGATCAGTGGTTATTTAGTTGTTTAGCAGCGTATGATCTCCATAAGTTAGGTTTCGATGATATGATGTATGAACTAAAACTTAATTATACGGTTCTCAACGTGAAAAAATTTATTTACTCAGCTTTAGATCACACTATATATGTGTGAGGTAGTCATACCAGACGTCTGTTTAAACTGAGGTAAATGAAACTGGGCTCGAACTGTCGACTTAGTGGTTGAAAGTTGTATACCTTAACTAATAATCAGTCGCTCCATCGTCTAGAACTAATACTAATCACTAAGGGACGATACTCCAAATACCTCTTTATTGATCTTCACATAATGCACTATTTCTTCTAGTAAGAAGTAAATAAAATATGTACAAATTATTTTTTAAAATGATTTTAATAGTAACAGATTTTCATTACCACTAAAAGTAGATCAATGAAGAGTGTTAAAAATGAAGCAAACTCTTCTGGTATTAGTTAGTTACTGTCTGAATATAATGGCTCAATGGATAGTTCATTGGCGTTCCAGTCTCAATGTGAACATCAGCACAGATTAATCTATATCCAGCCAACTAATCTCACATAAAATGAAATACGAGTCCTAGGTTCTATCACTCGACACATGCCAAATTTACTAAAAGCTACTAAGTTTGAATCTCATTCGTGGAATTGACTACATTTGACTAACAAGTCTTGAACAAAATGAAATATTCCTCCTGTTCTTCAATGCTCTTGGACACTGTTAAGTATTGATATTAAAACATTATGTCCTTCATTCATTTTTTTTTTGTTTCGCTCAGGCTAAATCGTATATTTCCAATACTACAGACAGTACAACTTTGTATCCTTGTGTATTTAATACTGTGGTTGACTCATCTGAATCTCAAAAAATCAATGATATGAATATTTCTAATGGCTTTACAAGGTATATTTTATTTTGATCTTACACTGTTTTTTTGTATTATCATTATTATTATTATTCAAGGTGATCAAATCAGTGATCTTGAGGTTTAAAGCATTGATTATCAGTTGTTTAGATTATATTTTTATCTTTTCTTATAAACTTTGTTCATCTTGTCAAGTTTATTTACTTGGGTAGTATATTTTGTTTAGTTTATAGTGTAGTGCTTTTTTTTTTCTTAACATGACTACTGATTTACTTACTGTATGTGTTCTTCAAAACACGTGTGAATGTAATTGATTTTCTGGATTGTAGATTGTCGATAAAGAATAATATAACCTTATTAATATTCATAATCGGAATTATGTTGTTGTAGAAAAAAAGTAACGTAATTGTATTCCCAAGCAGTAGAAAGTCTAAAAATTCCTGGCTTAGTGATCTTAATCTGTAAATTAAGACCTCATACTGGTTAGATTATTACAAAATAATGTATTCATCGTTAGCAGGATAGATATTTGATCAAAACATGTTTTAGAGATTACTTTGGAGCACTCTAATTGGTTCACTCCAAAAAAAATCAGTGCCCATGGCTGAGCTGAGAAGTCTTTAGAATATTCATGTGCAAAGTTTATGCATACAGTGAAATCTAGTTACTTAACTTTCTGTTTTGCCTGAAATATATTTACATTCTGTGAAAGTCGTGTTTAAATTTGGGAACTAGTCGGCTAAAGTGTCCAAGACTACTGAATGATAACAGAATACTAGGCCTTATTAAGGATATTTAACAGTTATATTTACGTATTCTAAGAAAAATACACAGTGAAACAATGTTGCAGGTGAATAATCGTCTTTAATATTGTTTTTATTTTCAAAATTTCCTTATTTCTTCCTAACGAATTGCGCTCTATAATGGAGGAGAAGTGTGTACCTATTGTTTATCTTTTTTATCAAAGTCTATGGTGAGACTATAATTTATGAACGAACCAATCAGATGTAAGATAGCGGGTCTTGGATTTCAGCACAAAATTCATTCATTCATATGTCTGAATAGCATTACAGCTAACGTCAGTTTTGTAACGAGAACCCTAACTCTAATTCGTAACCCTAACATCTAACTCTGATTTCCCACACTAATGTATAATCTTCAGATAGTAGTAGGTGAGTGAGTTCCCTCAAGGTCACGTTGGAGTCACTCTAAGGTCGTCCATAAATTATAATCTCACCAATTTGGTTGTAATAGTTCTTGCATCTAGTTCCCAACTCAAACATTAAATATAATATTCTTTTTTCGATAAATACTCTGGATCTCCCCAACAATCTTCCAATACCATTGGTTGGTAACGGCCTCACACCTGACTGGGTTGAACTTCACTAGTCACCGCTTCTCACTATAACTCTAGGAATTAACTCTCTCACTAATGATCATGTGATTATTATTGTTCAAAATTTTATGATTGTTTAAAACAATCCTGCATTAATTTTCTTAACACATAAATAATCTAAGTTAGATATCATTTTATTCTGTATAACATTGCATATGGCATTAAATATAGTTTTTATCAGTTTTTATTCTATTCTATACTATTGTTCGTAGTAGTGTTCAACTATCAGAAGAAATGAAAAGTATTCCCTCTACATTTCCACCGCCTATAAAAGATATGCAAATTAATTACAGAGATATACCAAACGATGAAGATGAAATAGATGATAACTGTAATGATGACAATGAATCTTTTGCTAACAACAATGGTAATAATAGTTCACAAAAACAAATTATGAATTCATATAATGATGATGACGAGAATGATGAACATAACAAAAAAGTCATCTTACACTTACTTTCTCAATTAAAAATTGGTATGGAATTAACCAAGGTGAGAGATGGGTATATTTTAATTTGATTAGTTATTATATTTCTTTATCTGTCTATCCATTACTTTAGCATATTTAGTGATTGGTTAGCAAGAGAATCGAGGATTTGCATCTCGTCCTGTTAGGGAAACGTCAGCTAGATACATATACCTGCGCATCCTAGTGTTGTTGTTTACATTGGCTGTCATACCCCGTATCTTTTGGTTCAAACGCATCCTGAATTTTACTGCTAGCTACGTATCAAATATACTTAAACTTATGATACAACATCCGCTAAGCATACATATCTAAGAAAACAGAGACTGATCAATCACAGGCTTAAAATATCAAATTTTGTAAATTAAAGACCCTTACTAATTATCTACTCACCGTTTTTCTTCATCTATTCTCAATCGGTTTTTGAAATATTTCAACATAGACTATAATTGGTTCATTTGTTAGTTGTATAATTATTTCATATCGATATCAAAGTAGATCAAAGTAGACACTAGAAATATCAAAATTAATTTTATCTAGTATTCCAGACTGATCTTTATGGGTTTAAAACTGTGCATTGTTATTTTAAAAAAAATATCTGTAATGGTAATTATTATGATGCTTTTAATTGACAGTTACTAATAGGTACGCATATTTTTGAAACATTCCATAGTGGGTATGTCACTAATAATCCATTCAATAATGCATCACTCACCTCAGTAGCATTTGTAACTGAGTGTTTACTTTATTGAACATTTTATTTTTATTTATTTAAACACAAATATTGGTACAAAGGGGCACCAGATAAATATGCGCCTCACAAATCTCATTCGATTTGTGTGAGGGCTGTGATACTGCCCAGGTGCCCAGACTGAAGCAGGTGGTTTTCTTAAGGGGCCACACCACGAGCCTTTGACCTAAAGGTCTGATCCACATGGCAGTGGAGCATCGTAAGGAGATGCAGTCCCATGGTAGCCGGTGACCAACCATTAATTCATACTCCATTTGTTCCCTCAGGATACTGAAGCCGATGTGCACCATTGGTTTGGAATCAGGGTTTTCCAACTCCCCTAGGTGAACTCGTCATGTCCACCAACCCGGTTAAAGCGCCGGACATTTGGTTTTCGTCCTCTCAATTTTATGGACAACAGTAATGCCAGGAGAAGGCAGTGGGTAGGACTTCCCTGGCAGAGGCTATATACGCGTGGCCATATGAGAGCATTTGGAGAGGGAGAGCAGACTCTCCCCACTCTCGGCCGTACCAGGGCATTTGGGGGCTTATTGAACATAGATATCATGATGTGACATCTGGTTCAAATGATTTTGTTTTTTAAGAAAATCAATTATACTATGGTGTTTCATGCGCAAATGTGTTTGTGTGTAAGTACGTAAGTGTTTTCTGTCGCCAATTTGAACTACGTTTGAGAAATTTTACTAATGAAATAGTTGACACGTTTTTTCGCTTGTCGAATATTATGCTATGTTCGATGACTAACAACTAGAGATGGATTGATAAGTATCAGTGGTGAGATTATAATCTATGGACGACCTTTGAGCAATGGTTAAATGACCTTGTGAGTGTCCACTTACTTAGTGGAGTTAAAATTTAGAGTGAGGAACTAAGATTTGGATTTGCGGTTGGACATTAGAGTTAGAAATAAGAATTAAGATTTTCATCACGAATTGACATCAGCTTTAATTCCGAAATGCTATTTGGTGATATGGTTGAATGAATTTCACACCAAAGACCACCACCCAGTGATCAATCAATTGTGATTAGATCTCAGTCCTACAGGAGGTCGGTCGCGGCCCGAATAGCTCAGTGGTAGCGTCTCTGACTGTGAAGCTGAGTGACACGGGGTCGAATCCGCCAGGGAGCGTCAGTTCCCTCAAGATTACAGGTACACCTTGCTGACGAGTGCCAAGTAGCACGAAACCCGGGTCCAGGGTTTCCTGTTGACCACCTCCAACCACCATGTTACACAAAAGACCTGCTATCTTAAATTTGATTGGTCCATTCATAAATTATAGTCCTACCAAAATTATAATTAAAATAACTAATTACCAAGAAGGTTGGGCTTTATTTTTATAGAAGCAGATCTCTAGTATTGTTAGAGGTATAAGGCCACTACTCAATTATCCACACCGTGAAACGATACTTTTTCTCAAGGCACCTAGAAAATAAACTTGCCTTAAGGGTGATCTTGAAAACTCAGGAGTGTTACAGCGGCGAAAAACTCAAGGAGTAAAACCTTTCTGTGAATATTTCTTCACATTTTACCTCTATGCTTTTAGTGCCCTTCCACTAACGATAATAATTCATGGAACAAGATGAGGTGTGCTATTTTTAGTATCGAGATTTACTAACCCTCTTGTTTCATTGTAGAAGAGGGAATGCTGGTTGTTTGACGGAAATATCCTTCTACCGTTACACCTTGTGCAGTCGACAGTACGATTTCTCCCGTGAACCGTTAATTTGTCGCTTTTAATTTTGTGCTTCTCCGACCAACCTGCTTAATACTGTTGGACCTAAATAGAAAAGTATTCTAAACAATGTATTTCAATTGGGTCATCACACTATGCAAGCCCAACAACCATGTCAAGGTATAACATCTACGCCTAGGTCTAAAATAGTAGTATAACAGTAAAAAGAATATTAATAAAAGTCGAGTAAAACTAATATCTTTGTGAAATAGAAAGTATATTCTATAATGTTATATTTCAAGTTTGGATGAAGATAAAAAATAAAAGTATATGTATCATGGGGATCGATTATGTCAAGAATGTCATATAACTGCCCTAGTTCTGAATTATAGTCATCTCATGGACACCCAACAGAAAGTATACAGGACTCAATGACCTTCGTTAAGTAAATTTTAAACCTCACAATACCCTAAAAAGCATAGTATCTTGGTTACATGGTGAACGTAATTGCATATGCCTTAAAAATTTCAATTAATGATGATTCACAACATTTTTATCTGATGTTCCACTTTTAAAACGTACTGTGTAACTAATATCAACATTGTACACATAAATAGCCTTAATTTAACAAAATCAGTATTTTTAAGGTAGTCTAGTTTAATTTTGATAGTAACGATGTGGATCTGGCGAGAGCGGGATCGTGGATGCGCACTGCTGGGGAGTCTCATAATAGAACAAAACGGCTGTCCAGTGCTTCCAGGTTTTCGATGGTGGTCTAGCTTCAATTGACTCATGATTTCAACTATGAAAGATCAATAGAGAAACAATAATTGTGAAAGAATTTTTGAATGGAAAATTGTTCAAATGGTTGCCAAAACAGAATGTTTAAGAATCGGATATTATTATTAATATGCTTTATGTAATACTTGTACACAAACTTAATTAGCTGAATAAGTAAAGATCAAATAAGAAGCAAAGAAATGGAATTTATAATCAAGCTCGTGGAAAAAGTAGAGGTCATTTGATAAACTCACGAGAATAACATTACTTTAGCAAAAAAAAGATAACTAGGTCATATTTGTTTTATGGTAACAGTCTCAACTCTTTATCGTATCCTCACATATCTATATATCAAACGATAGACGTTTTGTTACCCATTACTTTTCATTGCAGACTAGCTACAACAAAATCTATTTACTAAATTAATTTGTGCATATGTATTGTATTTACAACAACCAATCATTATGCAATGATCTTTTGAAGTAAACTTTCATGATTAATCACTATGTATTATATAAAATGTATATCTCTGCTATTATATACTTCCTTCTTTCTATGTAGGTAGTTTTTCCTACGTTTATTTTGGCGGAATATTCTTTGCTAGAAATGTTTGCTAATTATATGGCCCATCCGAATTTATTTTGCAGGTATATATGTGCACATTTCCTTTTCATTAAACACTATCGAAATCATTATATATGCCAGATTTTTAAATGTAATTAATGTAATCAGTAAGGTCATTTCAGACTGTGTTCACTTTCTGTCATTTATTTTTTTATAAAATCCTAACTTGTAGTATCTATTCGAATATGAATGTTTACTTCTATTTTAGATAATTCACAATACATACTAACTTCAGCATGGTAACCACTGTAAACCAGATATCATTGAAAAACTGTTTCAACTTTTATATGTAGGCTTCTACAACAGTGTTCACCAAAGAAGGCCTTACCTGAGATTGAAACTACGATCTTCAGACCTTGTAACTAACACATTACTTTTAGATACCACTAAGTAGTGACGCTTACTAGTTTACCTTATGCAACTGTTATTTGCAGACATTCTGGAACGACTCTACAAGTGACCTTGGTAAATTCTTACCCAGTTATTAGTCACTCAGAATACAACTAATATGAATAAATAATAGATTACGTGTAATGACAAAAATTAGAGTGGATCTTAATTTTTACATGATGAATAAACTTGTAAAGTGTTATATCCCCTGGTGAATTATGAATGGTAAATCTGAGGTCTATTATCGACCAATGTATTATGCCTATTTCTTATTGTACAATTGTTACGTAACTAAACTATTCATATTCGTGTTTCTCTTATCCTTAGCTTTATTTTGACCTTGACTTATTATCATACGATTCTTGAGTTATAATCAGTTTATTGATTACTTTGGTTTGTATAAAAACTCAGTGTGTTTGTAAATAATGATTCATATTGCCGAGGCTGTTATTTGTGTTCTGGACTCAACTGGCTGGGCTAGGCGTATAGCCGGACCGAATAGCACCCAAGACTGCTTGTACGACTTCAAGTATTATTTGCGTCCGATCAATAAATCCACTACCTCTCCAATTGCACGTCCATATATATTAAGAGTCCTATACGTTATAACATAAAGGATCAAAATAGAATTAGGAATTGAGTTAGAAATTAGGAAAGAAGAATGATTTGTACAAATGATATGAATGAATGCCCATGCATTCGGTTCTTTGATTTTAAATCTCATGGATGTTGAATTTACTTTGAAAAGTTCACAAGCCAGTTTAAAAAAAATATCATAAATATTTTGACTGTATTTGTTTTCTATTACTATTCTTGTTCTTCATAAGAAAACTAAACACCTTCTTATTACCTCTTTTTAATCGTTAAACTTTGTTTGCTATTCTTCCATCTTGTCATATTCATTAATTTTGGGCGTTTTCATAACTAACTATTGGTAGGTTCTTATTCATTCTTAACTGCTTAGAGGCTATATATCGCCTCATAATTCAATTTCGAGCAAAAATCTGAAAGCCACCATCTTAAATTCAATTGTCACGGTAGTATACCATAGTTCTGTCAATCGTGTTTTCAACTCACATCAATTCGTGATGCTGAGTGCCCATCATCCTTTGCCATCAGAGATAATACCTGTTTCAATCTTCTCCTAGAGACATGGCTTAATCCCACTTGCCATAAGCATGAAGTAGGTACTATGTATTTCTGTGAGTTAAAAATATAAGGAGATGGAAAACGCCTTGGATCATACTTTTCATACTGAAATTCTTAAGAGATTATTTCATGGAAGGAATTTATTTTTTCACAATATCCAGTCCAAGGTAAGAATAACTATCAGACTCCAGAGTATAAGGGTGTTTCTTTGAATCCGTTAGTATCATATATGTTATTCAAATAATATTTATTTAATGCAATTATCTAGTTACAAGTAGTAATATTTCAGAGCATTATGACTTCCTCGTTCGAATTCTCTTCCATTTGTCTTGATAGTTACATCTCACTCTATTAATATGTCGTGGGAACTTGAACCGATGCACAACTATGTCAGATTTTAGGTTGGGTATGACTGACTGACTATCTAATTTCTTCACTCATCATCTGAAAAGAAAAACACCCTTTTTTACTTATCTCTGTCTCGCCTTTGCTTATTTTTACATTTTATATATCTTCATGTTCACTCATATATCTATTAATTTCATTCTAATTTCAATCAATAAGTTGGTTATTTTTTACGTTGCATTGCTCTGCATATACACTTAATTTTGCACTATTCTAGTTTATTAGCAGCATCGTATTCTATATGAGCATGAATTCACGCTATACATTAATCAGAAGGGGTTTTGTGGAGAATTTAGTATTTTCATAGTTGAAATTATGAGTCGATTGAAGCTAGACCACCATGGAAAACTCGATACTCTTTTATTATGTTTATATGAAGTCGATATTTATGATTCAAATTATATCTGATCTAATTTAACAGGAAGACAAATTAGTTGGATATAAAATATTGTAAATCATAAATTCAGCTTAGTATATGGTAGATTTCCGCTTTATTCAGACGTCTAGAAGATGCGATTCGAATCCCATATAATCTAACTTGTTCTCTTTACTACATTCAAATGTATCATTCTCATATGTAGTGGTAACGTAAAATGTATTCTAAACAGAATATCAAATGTTTATACTACATTAGGTGCTTCCATAAATTGCACACTGAAGAAAGATCATTCATCTAATATTCAATTGATGATTGTTTTCATGAATCACTTCCACTAACCTCTATGAAAGTAGATTTACGTATTTTTACTATTATGTTAACTTTTTCAGCTTACTAATGTATACATATATATATATATATATATATATATATATATATATCGTTTGTAATGAATTTACTTGTTCTTTATACATATTTATTTTATTTTATTAGAATTACTGACTATGTAGATCCTGAATGGCGTATGATAGCATTTATTCAATGGTATCTTACTACATTTCATTGTGGACATCTGGTTTGTTCTTATTTTATTTGTGTATATTTTTTAGCTTTTTTTTCTGTACTATTTATTTATTATTTATTTAATCACATACATATTGGTACAAAGGGCACCGGATACATATGCGCCACACAAAATAATGAGAATAGGAGGAGAAAGGGGGAAGATGCGTATAAAGAAGGAAAAAAAGAGAAATGATGGGGGGAACTGAAATGTACAACCAGAAGAACTCTCTCAGTTAAGAAAGTTATAACCACTCTTTATGAAGAAAGTAAAAAAAAAGTTACAGCATTCTCGCCACTGGCTTCTATTCTGAACCATGTCTGATAACGTCTCTAGCCACTGTGTTGCATCATCTCTCGGACTTCAGCCAGGGAGTCGTGAAGGACCAACAGAAGCTAGCTCTTTGCAGCTTTTTTTCATACCACGACACCATGTCATACACTGACCACCTCTCCGCTTTTTCCAACCAGTCCCAGAGTCGGCAAATAATACACGTCTTTAAATAATGCACACACAAATATATGAAATGACGCATTCTACTGATAATTCTTTATTATTTAAAATACAGTGTAATAGTGTTATCATTATCTATATTACTTACCATGAAAATCTTTTTGTTTGTATCGGATATCAACTATTAATAGTTAAAAAAAATTTTTCTTTAAAGAAATTTGACCCATTTTTTAATAGAATAAATTAAATCACAAATTATTTATCCATTATCATTGTTATGAAGGAGTTCATGACACCATGTATTGCTTGCCAACAGAGTTGTTAACTATACAAACAATCTACTTTATAAATTAACTATTTGCCAATTCATTTGCTCCTGTAAAGCCAGTTATGTAGGGCATAAAATTCGGCAAGTCTGTCATCACATAACGGAACATCATCCGTCACGGCCACGTGTATACAGCCTCTGCCAGGGAAGTCCTACTCATTGTCTTCTTTCAGAGGAGTGTTGTTTAAGAAATTGAGAGGACGAAAACCAAATGTCCGGCGCTTTAACCTAGTTGGTGAACACGGAAGGTCCACCTGGGGGAGTTGGGAAACCCTGATTCCAAACCAGTAGTGCACATGGGCTCCAGTATCCTGAAGGAACAAATGGCATCTGAATCAGTCGTTGGTCACCGTCTACCATGAGACTGCATCTCCTTAAGTTGCCCCACTGCCATATGGATCAGACCTTTAGGTCAAAGGCACGTGGTGTGGCCCCTTAAGAAAACCATCTGCTTCGGTTTGGGCACCTGAGCAGTATCATAGCTCTCACACAATTAAATGAAATGACATTTTTTGTGTGGCACATATATTTCTGGTGCTTCTTTGTACCAATATTTATGTGTTCAAATAAATAAATAAATATTCTCGCTCACTTGGTGGATATGGGTTATCAAATTTACTTGAATAATGCTTTCAAGGATACCCACCATATTCCATCAAATTTATTGCATGGTTTACGAGTTCGTTTATACAACTACTTTCACTAACTTGGTCATCGGTATGGGAGTAAGTTTGTAGCTGGATGCCTAAATTCTTCCACTTTTGTATTTGATATATTCTCAATATTCGTCTCTTGATTCTTACATAACTACCATCATACTAACTTTTCATCAAAATATTTTGTTAGTTCTTTTCATACATTATACTACGTAGCAAATGTTTGATTTCTCAAATAATCCTTTTATTATCATAATCCTGTTTTTTCCAACTACTTAGTATTGTTTTATTCTCAGTGTGTCTTAATATATTTAGTACGTAACGTAACTACTCGATGGGCATCATTTCTTTAATATAGAGCCATGATGAACAACTGATTAAAGAAATTATTTCTCTCGATTCGTTCTTTTTACCAAATGTCAAAACGGGAGTTTTCACCCAACACGCTATTCAATCGTTATTTTTTGTATCTTTCATTTATTCTTCATGTATTTCTTTATTTTTTGTCATAAAAAGTGAATTAAATCTGCGTTTAGTTGTTGTTAAGTTGCGGTTATCGTCTGTTAATAAAACCTTAAAATTCAACAATCCCTACAAATTCTGTCACTTCAATAATGATCACTTACTCACTAGCGATTTATCTCAAGAGGTAATTCCCGGGGTTCTAATGAGAACCTGTAACTATTCGCGTTCCACTATATCGAGTGTGAAGCCGTTACTCAACAGCGACTGTGAAAGATGTTTGCATTATTTTGCGAATTGGTTGAAATTAAACATGTATACTATTGAATGTTTATTATTTATTTATTTATTTAAACACATATATATTGGTACAAAAGGGCACCAGGTACATATGCGCCACACAAAATAATGAAAGTAGGTAGATAAAGGATGAAAAGATAAGGCGGGCTGAAATGTACAACCAGAAGATTCTTTCAGTTAGGAAAGTTAGAACCATTCTTTATGTAGAAAGTAAAAGAAGGTTGCAGCAGGATCGCCACTGGCTTCTATTCTGAGCCATATCCGATAACGTCTCTAGCCACTGTGTTGCACTATCTCTCGGACCCCAACCAGGGAGTCGTGAAGGACCAACGGAAGCTAGCCCTTTGCAGCTCTCTTTCATGCCACGACACCATGTCATACACTGACCTCCTCTCCGCTTTCTCCAACCAGTCCCAGGGTCGGCAAATAATGCACGACGCGGAATTCTCTGGGACGACATTCGTAAAACATGTCCGAGCCACCGAAGTCGGTGTTTCAAGATGGTGACACCAATTGAATTATCGTCTCTGCGCCCGAACACACGATGCCGAACCTCTGCATTACTAACATGGTGTTGCCACTGGATGTCAGCAATCCTTCGGAGACAACGATGATCGAACACAGAGAGACGTCTAACATCCTCAACTCGGAGAGGCCAGGCTTCACAAGCATAGAGCAAAACTGCTCTCACCGACGCGTTGTAGATCCGACCTTTTACAGCCAGACTAACATCACGAAGGCGCCAAAGATGGCCCAGATTGGCATAAGCCGCTCTGGCTTTCATTATACGTGCATCAATCTCATCACTCACGCCACCACCAGCACTTATATAGCTACCTAGGTACACGAACTTCTCAACTACTTCGATCTCCTCACCATCCAGGGTGAGTACAGGATGAGAATCCTGCCAGTCTTGTAGAAGTACTTTGCACTTGGAGGGTGCAAAGCACATGCCGTACCTTCGGACACTGATTGCCAACTGATTAAGTGCTGATTGCATGCCTTGGGCATTATCGCACAGTAAGACAATATCATCCGCATACTCAAGGTCGAGAAGTCGTTCTCCAGGCAACATATCCACACCGCCATTACTTACATCCATCAGAGCTGTTTCTAGGATGTCGTCGATGGCAAAGTTGAAGAGGAATGGGGAGATTGGGCAACCCTGCCTAACCCCACTGCTCGAATGGAACAAGGGAGAAAGGTGGTTGTATGCCCTCACTCTGCCTGAGGTGTTCGTATACAGGGCCTTTAAGATGTTAATGAACTTCTCAGACACACCCTTCTTCAATAGACAATCCCAGAGAACAGTCCTGTCCAACGAATCGAAGGCCGCCCTGATATCAAGAAACACTACGATTGTTGGCCTGCGATAAGTATGGCGGTGTTCTAACATTTGGCGGAGGGTGAAGATGTGATCAATGCATCCTCGACCAGAACGAAAACCAGCCTGCTCCTCGCGAGTCAATCGTTCTCGGGTTTTAAACAACCTACGAAGAATGATAGAAGCCAATAGTTTGGACGCGATCGAAAGTAGACTTATCCCCCGATAGTTATTGCAGGAACAACGTGAACCCTTTTTAAAGATAGGGACGACTATTGACTCATTCCAAGATGTTGGAACACTTTCTTGCTCCCAAACCTTTCCAAACAACGCAGTCAGTTCCTTAGCCAGAAAGTCACTACCATCTTTAAAAAGAGCCGGAGGTAAGTCATCTGGGCCAGGTGATTTATAACGTTTCAAGAGTTGGAGTTCCTTGCGGACTTCCGCCTCGTTTGGTGGATCAGTCGTCACCGGCCATGGGGAGCAGGACACGCTGGTTGATGTTGCCGGAGCAGCAGGCCAGTTGAACTGCTCTTCGAAAAATTCCGCCCATCGTCCAAGACGTCGACAGATGTTAGTGATTGGCATCCCGTCATCCTCGTAGATTGTTTCACTCACACCAGACTTCTTGCTGCCAGTGGCTCGGATGAGTTGGAAGAGCTTCCGGCAGTTACCAGATGCAGCTGCTGCTTCCATCTCATTAGCACGCTCCGACCACCAGGCTTCCCAGTCCTTACACAAGCTTTGCCCGATTTCATTACGTAACAGCCTTCGTTTGTGGTCAAACTCACGGTCACCCGGAGTAGACCGACGGGCTTCCATCAGTTGTAAGGAGCCAGAAGAAACCCAGTGCTTGTAAGCGGGACGTTTCGCGAAGCCGCAAGCGGCTTTCCTCGCCATTTTCATGGCGTCGTGAAGAAGCAACCAATGCTCGTCTATACTTTTCGGTGGGGTGGTAGCTAGCCTAGAGGCTAGCTCAGCTCGATACTTACTTGCAACAGATGTTGCAGCCAGTTTACTAACATCGATCCGTTGGTGGTGGTCAATCCTTCGGCCACTGAAAAGTAAGGTGAGATTGGCGCAGACCAGAGCATGATCAGACTCCAGATAGGTACTCCAAAAGGAGCGGCAGTCTTGTACACAACCACGCCAGCGGTAGCTGATCGCGATGTGATCAATCTGAGTCCAGGCTTGGGATGCAGAGGGAGGACGCCAGGTGGCACACCGGCGATGACTGTGCCGGAAGTTAGTGCTAGCCAGAAACAGGTTGTGGTCTGTGCACAGTTGCAGCAAACGGTCCCCGTTATCTGTCCGGCGACCAACAAGTCCCCATCGGCCACCTAGACGACTCTCTTCTGTGCCTAGACGCCCGACCTGTGCATTCAAGTCTCCGGCTAGTACTACAATATCTGTCGAACGCGCTTTCTGGAGAAGAACTGTTAACTGATGGTAAAACTCATCCTTGATTGCATCCGGGCTGCAATCTGTC